TCCTAAGATGTTTTTCATCAATTTTTTTTTAAAGCATTTGAGAGACAGTTGTGGTTTTGGGGACTTGTTTGTATGATTTTTATGTCAACAAGGAAAATATTTTTAGCTAATAGGTCCATATACTTAAATGCATACATAGTATCTCTGAATGTATCACATCTATCATCAGAATGACTTCCCATTCACACAGTCGTCCTCCGTATACCAGTCCCCAGAATGGTGATTCTAAGAATGCCACTTAAAAGGTCTCTGCCCATAGGAAAATTAAAGAATTGAGGCAGCAACAGTGAATGTCAGACAGGTCTTGGGCAGCTCAGTTACTTAATTTGTTCCAAAACAAAGCTGACTTAAGTCAGAATGAAATGGTACACTTAAACAGAAAGACAGGAGTTTACTAATTTTAAAATGTAAACATAAATTTTATATAGGGATGTAACTATCTGAATACATATGTTGCCATTTCTCTGCTATATAATAATATTTCTTGACACCAATGGTAATATGTTTGGTCCTTCCTCAGCACCAGATGTGTCCATATCTATTCGCACAGTAGGAACCTCCTTTCTAAACGGATCTATGCTAAGACATATACAAGCCAGTTATTGCTGTGGTTTACTGAAGTTTCAGCACTTAAGAAAATTCTCAGTTCATAGTAATTTTGGCTCATTCACTGAAATGTTATTTTCCCTTTTACACTGTAATTTCTGAAGGAGCCTAAGAAATTTGGATTTCCTTGAAAGGGCCACATGTACATCTACAGAATGGAAACACTGTGTTCATTCGCAAGGTAATACAAATAATAATATTAAAAATGTCCCAAATAATGCCAATTTAAATGTCCAAAATCCAGTTATGTGCTTGGGTGTAAAAGAGTCCAAAAAAAAATTCTTTTGTTGTTTTCTGTTCTGTCTTTGAAAATATATAAGTCCTACTGAAGTTAATCTATTTTTTCCCACTTGAGAACACCAGGCACTGATTTATCCATTGGGAGTTTTGGCTTGCTTTCTAATACCTAGATTAAGAAAACAAAATAAGACAAGTTATTAACTTGATAATATTATGAATGAGTACAGTAGACACGTTTAAAGTTGACCCTTTAAAAAAAACATCTGTAGCAATTTCTCTCCACCTAAGCAACAGTCACCTTATGAAGTTACCCATGAATACACTCTTTTAATACTGATTTGAAGGAGGTGGCTTTGTTAGTAGCTTTGTTAATAGAAAGTGTATGTCTGGTATCTACAGACTTGATGTGTAGAGGTAAAAGAAACAGCCTCTAAAAGAACGGAGAGTAAAGCAGGCCTTATGGGACCAGAAGCCCTGCCCAGATGAGTTCACTCCAGGGAGCAAGTACAGTATGTCCACCTAGACGCAGGATCTTGGCCTCTGCACTGTCCCACGTTACTCCTCTCTCAGCACAGTTTTGGATGTAGAATGATGCATTCATAGGCAGATACAGGGTCAAAGCCAATCAATGAAATACAGTATTTATACTATGATCACAGATCCCCACATAAAGAAAATAATCAGTCTTAAGTCACAGACCGTCAATTTCCAGGTACTAAGTTTTGTGAGTGGAGAACTTAATCACAGTATCATAAAACTGAACTGGGCCACAGTCACTGGGTCCATACATTTTGTTTACAGTGAGGACAATGAGGGAGAGAGGCTATATCAAAGGCATACCCTGTCTTACTGGGTAGTTTTTACACACCATTGGAATACTCTCCAGTGTTTGATTAGCATGAAAAACATCAGTGAACCGAGAGATGATATGTCTTTAAAGAGTTAAAAACGGTAGGGATTCCTGGGTGGTGGCTCAGTCAGTTAAGTGTCTGACTCTTGATTTTCATTCAGGTCATGATCTCATGGTTCATGAGATTGAGCCCACATCAGACTCTGTGCTTGGGATTCTCTCTGCCCCTCCCTGCTTGTGAATGTGCATGCATGCATGAACTCTCTCTCCCAGTCTCACTCACTCTCTCTGTCTCTCAAAATAAATAAACATTTTTTAAAAATTATTTTTTTTTTAAGTTAAAAAAGTACTATAACATTACCAAGGGAATCAGGTGCAGTGCCACTTACAAGCCACCAGACTGACCCCATGGCTTTAGGCAAGTTACACTCCTTGATCAAGGAACTTCAAAGACTCCTCATGGCCTTCAGAATGAAGTTCAAACTTTCTGGCTTCCTCTTCAGTGATCCCTTTGATCTGGTCCCAATTTAGCATCCTTTTAGCCCAGTTCTTAACCCCATGAAACACATGCCTTAGCCACACAAGAAGACTTGGTTTTCCAAATCTGTCCTACAGTTTCTTCCTGTCATGGGGGACCAGTGATATTAACTCCTCTTGACATGCCCTTCCCCAACTGCCCCCTGCAGCTCAGTCCTCTTCAACCTTCAAGGCCTAGTTCAAATTCTTTCCTAAAGCCAGTCCTGAATCTCAGCTAGAGAAGATGGCTCCTTCCTCTGAATGCTTATCCCTAGCAAGGGAGACCAGAAGCAAAAGTCCTAACAAAGGAGGCAGGCATCATTCATCTGAAGGCAAGGCTTCCTCTCTCGAGTCACGGTCTCTGCACATCTCCCATTATTATCCACCCCTCGAGAAGTACCATCTTGTTATTTGATTACATATCACTGTAGATCATTTCACCTTCTCCTATTTCCATCTATCTGATCAATACTACTTATTAAAATTTTACCTCAACCAGTCTTGCAATTTAGTTACAGTCAATGACAACTGGTTTAAAAAAAGAAAGAAAGAAAGAAAAATAAAACAACTCTGTGCTGGAGCAATATAAAGGTTTTTTATTTGTTTCAAACACCTGGCGATAACCAATTGAATAGATTCTACTGATGAAAATCAAGACACACTCTGTGCTACAACAGTCACATCTCCAGACCCATTCTTAGCACAAGGTCAGCCTTTGTACCTGCAAAGTCACCTGGCTTGTAGCAGAGATCCTTCAGTTTCCCTGCATTTTATTTTACCCCTTGTGGAATTTTCAGAGTGTAGCTCTCCTATAGTTCTATGTGTCTTTCTCTGAGCCTCTCAATTCCACATCCTAAATTCCCTGAAAGAGAGAGTCATTTCTCTACTGTCCAAGCATTGAATGAGAGGCTACTTGGTGGCAGGTTTGTACCCGGGTACATACAGTGATGGACAAGAGACTGCATCCCAGCCATGACGGGACAGATAGGAGACAGACATTACACAGCAGATTCACATGTAAAGTAATTGAGAATTCCTGTCATACAGTTCCAAGGGCACACAGTAAAGGGTTAGAAACCGTATTTATCTTTGCATTAGTCTTTAATAGCTAGTTTAGGACCTCAGTGAATCCACAGTGCAAAAGCAAGAATGCCAACAAATAGAGAATGAGTGAATAAGGAATCATAAAAATTGAGAGAAATTAATTAATCTATGCATTTTACACTATTTTAGTTTAGCTTAAATTACACTGATGTGGGGGCACCTGGGTGGCTCAGTCGGTTAAGCATCCGACTTTGGCTCAGGTCATGATCACACAGTTCATGAGTGAGTTCAAGCACTGCATTGGGCTCTGTGCTGACATCTCAGACCTGGAGCCTGCTTCAGATTCTGTGTCTCCCTCTCTCTCTGCCCCTACCCCGGTGCTCTGTCTCTCTCTCAAAAATAAGCATATTTTTTTTTCTTTTAATTACACTGATGTGCTAAGGATTTTCAGTTATCCTTTGATGAACTCCATACAATATGGGCCATATGCCCAGCCAGGTTTTCTGCACCGTGGGCATGTTCCCAAGAATACATTTGATTATCTTTTCTCGGTGCCATCCTTGTGCCGTCCTAGGCTGCATGTATCTGTAAAGCCGTGGTGCCGTTTGTAAAGCACAGGCTCGGCTCCCTTACAGAATAAGGAAAGGGCTCCCTCTCAGGTGAATACAGCCTGAGCCACAGCACACGGCCCAGAGCATGGAACGTGGGCTGCTCTGAACCCCACACCTCCTCTGGCCAGGAGCCCAGGTGTGGGGGAAAGCCTGCACAACTGGGTTTGGGTAGGTCTGGGAAATCCCACAAACCACAGATTTACGTGGGGCCAACCAACCACTCTCCTGGGCTGTGTATCAAGGAGAAAGGGGTATTAAGTGTGAGTTTCCAGTGCAGCTCTGTGACATGTTTCCACAGTGGCCCAGTGGCACTGGTGCCTCTCCCAGCTGGACACTTTCAGTATCATTCCAACAGTGTTTGTATTACTGGGAATGTAGCACTCCCAGGTCGCACAGGTGATGGTTCGGGTCCTTAAGCCAGTACCGCCAGAGCAGGCAGGGCTTAAGGGATCAAGTAGGGCAGAGACCAGCAGGCCAAACTCCCTAACCTTCCTTCAGTTACTTTCATCACAGCACCACCCCTGTTAATATTTATGTGCTGGGAGTCCCTCTGAGCTTGCATTCAAAGAAGAGTTCCGGGGCTAGGAAAAGTATGCAGGAACTTCCACACACGCCTCCCTTCCTAGGATATTTCACTAGTACTTGTGGTTTTAGAACTCAAATTTGTAAAATCTTGGTTTTGTACAGAACAGGCGGTCTGACCTCTTCGGTCGAGTACTTTAAGGCAGTGATTTCCAAAATGTACTTTAAAGAACTCTAGGAATTTCTTCAGGGCTGCTTCATGGACTCTGGTGAAGATTGAGGAAATCCAACTGTTTGGGATCCCCCAAGGTCACCCACACTGCATACGGCCTGTTTTACATATTCATCCGCCCCAGGGGCTTTGCGGGTAAACAGTCTGTTCTGTGTGTATATCCTGTCCTGCAAACTCAGCTTTAGGATGATAAAAACCAGAAGACATCTGCCCTCCCCCTTCTCCACCATCATTAAAGGAAGATCAACCCTAATCACGGGATAGCACAGACTGCTTTCCAGGCAAGCTGCGGTAGTAGTAGAAAGAGACACATGTATAATGCCTGTCACTGAGCTAAAACGCTTTGAGAACAGAATCAACTAAGCTAGGCAGTTAGGACTCACGGTGAAATTGTGCAGCCCGAGGCATACGCATGGTGTCCCGTGTAGCGGATTTCACAGCGCACGACGTTGTTAGAATAGTCTGATTCCGGCACCAGGTAGCTGGGGTTCACGCTGACCTAGGCAATGTAAATATCATCCGTGTTTCAGATTTCATCAGCAGTGTTTGCTGGTTAATAGCTTCCTATTTCCACAAGGCTACAACAAGGAAATGCATCAACTTCATCAAGCAGGGCGGGGGGTTAAAAAGTGAGGCAAGTGGTAAAACTCTGGAGAAGTTACAGAAGGCGGCCATATATTTTTCACTGAAGTTCTTAAAATAACTTTTTCATATACGTATGTTGGTTTAGAAATATTTCTGTATGCCTAGGTGGCTCAGTTGGTTAAGGGTCAGACTTTGGGGCTCAGGGTTCCAGCCCCATGTTGGGTTCTGTGCTGACAGCTCAGAGGCTGGAGGGTGCTTTGGATTCTGTCTCCCACTCCCCTGCTCACTCGCTTTCGCTCCCTCTCTCTCTCGCTCGCTCTCTTGCTCTCTCTCAAAAATAAACATTTAAAAAAAGAAATATTTTGGGGTGCCTGGGTGGCTCAGTTGATTAATCGTCCAACTCTTGATTTCCACTTAGGTCATGGTCTCACAGTTTGTGAGTTTGAGTCCCACATCAGGCTCTGTGCTGATAGTGTGGAGCCTGCTTGGGACCCTCTCACTCTCTCTCTCTCTCTCTCTCTCTCTCTCTCTCCCCCTCTCCCTCTCCCCCTCCCCCTCCCTCCCTCCTCCTCTCTCCCTCTGTCTCCCTCTGTCTCTCTCTGCCCCTACCAGACTGTCTGTCTCTCTCTGTCTCTCTCTCAAATAAACTTCAAAAAAAAAAAAAAAAAAAAACACTTTTTAAAGAAATATTCCTATGGGATATATAATTGCTTGCAGCGTTGTGATTATTTAACATTGGATTCAGAAGGGGAGGTCCATTGAGTTGCAATCAAAATAAATTGCAGGTTTCTATTTTCAAAGGTCTCTCTACCTTTAGAATGTAGTTTCCAGGCTTTACATCTGTAATATCAATCCATTGGCAGTCTATGTCTGCGTTATAGGTATCATAGCAGCCAGGACTCAACCCCTAGAAGAAAGAAAATTTAAAGATTATTTAAAAAGATGGTATAAGGTTAGAACATGTTAAAGAATGTGTTTAGTAGTTGCAAATTAAATTTTAAGTGAGTACTTACAAGAGTTTGACATAAAGCTATACTTCTATCACATTTCCTTTGAGAAGTATATATTACCCAGCTTTATAGAACCTCCAGCTAAAAAAACACAGGACTAATATAAGTAGTAGTACATGTAGCTTCTTGCACGTGTCATCAGTTACCAGTGATAAATACACGCTAAGTGACAGGACAGGCCTCCACCAAAATTCTAGAATATCACCAGTTCAGCGATAAAGGCCATGTAATAATCCCCTTAACTCACACATCCTCAGCTCAACTAGCCTTTCCAGTCTCTCTTGGAATTACCCTCCTTCACTCTGAGTGCCCGGATTTTATAGTGTTTGTGCTCTCATGCTCTACATTAAAATTGTACTGTATAACAATATATCTCACTAGAGATTAGAAGCTCCTTTAGGGTGGTGTCTATGTTGCATTTTTGAGTAGCTAACATTTATGAAGTATGTATCATGTGCCAGGACCAATCTAAAACATGTTACATCTATAAATTCAATGTTCACAACTACAGGACAGGAGCTGTTATTATCCCCATTTTACAGATGAGGAACATGAGGCACTGTACGGTCAGTTAAGTCACTCAAGGATATATAGCTGGTAAGTGGCTGAGATGGTTTTGAGTTTAGGCATTCAGGAGTCCAGGATCCCTATTCTTAACCAGCACATTATTCATTCTCTCTCTCTCTCTGTCTCTCTCTCTCCCTCCCTCTCTCTCACATTGTCACTGAAATATTTTATTAAATTAAAGGGATGAATGTATGCCTCAATGAATGAATACCACATCACTCGAGTTGCTAAGATATTCACTTCAATGAGGAAATGAGTGCCTTCTACAGGCCTGGAGGAGGAGAATTCCAATAAGATACAGTCCTTGCTCTCCAGAATGTTACAGTCTAGGGAAATCTGTTCAAATTGGAGTCCATAGGTATATTCTTGATGCAATTAGCCCCTTCTTGAGAAGATTTAACTGTTGTATTTTCATCTGAATACTAAAGTAAATTTTAAAGCATATGTTGGAATCATTTTAACTCACTGTTGCCACTGAATTTCAGCACCCAAAATTTCTTCGGTGCTTAAGATCACCTTGTTACCAAAAGAGCTTTAAGAGCTCTGAAACTGGTACATCAGCTGGCAGAATTTAAGTGATTAACTTTGATTATTTGAACTAGCACACCAAGAACAGGAATTTTTAAGGCCATTAAAAAAATAAAGAAACAGGCATTTCACATATTCAAAGTCAAACTGTAAGCACAAATGAAATGTAGAACCTTAGCCAACATTGTCTAAATTCGCCGTTTGGTTGTAGCAAAAGAGAACCATTGGTTACATTAAATTAATGAAGTTAATTTAACTGCTTCTAGTTTCATGTGTGTTGAACATGTAAATTTATTATCTAAGAACTTACAAGTTAGGGGCGCCTGGGTGGCGCAGTCGGTTAAGCGTCTGACTTCAGCCAGGTCACGATCTCACCGTCTGTGAGTTCGAGCCCCGCGTTGGGCTCTGGGCTGATGGCTCAGAGCCTGGAGCCTGTTTCTGATTCTGTGTCTCCCTCTCTCTCTGCCCCTCCCCTGTTCATGCTCTGTCTCTCTCTGTCCCAAAAATAAATAAACGTTGAAAAAAAAAAAAAATTAAAAAAAAAAAAAAAGAACTTACAAGTTAGATGAAAGTATAGATATAAGGAAGTTATATCTATTTTTATGTTTGGGTACATTTAAACTACATTAAAATACAACTAGTCTAAGTTATCATTGGGGCTTTGTCAGAATTTTTTTTTCCCCTTTAAATAAAGTCTGTGTTGAAGAAACATCAGTCTAGTGAAAAGCACGAATACAAAAATCACTTGTAATACAAGACCGGGTGAACAGTGTTTAAACAGGACATTCAACATGGAAAGTAACTGATAAGAAAGCTACCATAAATAATGAAATGGGGTCACCCCAAGGAGTTGGAAGACTAGAAGTCTTATAAATACCTACAGACCTAAATTCAGATATTTCGACAGAGAGCTTTCCAGAGCGCCTCTTTTCCTACATGGAGGGAATAAACTCCAGGTGCCGTGCACAGGCAGGCGGCTACTGTGGGGCCGGAGATTGCCAAATGAAAAGGGAACCTCTCTGCCCACATATGTGCAATGTGTGGGTAGGTTATATCTTTTATTTGAACAATAAGTGCTGCCTCCAGGGCATGTAGAATTGAACCTTTTGCCCCCTCCAATTGCTATGGTGTTTTAAGCTCAGAGAAAGAAGCAGTGGTGACATTTAGGTCACCAAAAAGCTTCCTGCCACAGCCCTAGAATTTACTCCCCAAGATACCAGCTGCTCATCCCTTTGTGCCCTGCCTGATGTACATTCACTACTCCTTGCCAAGAGTCCGGCTAGAGTAAAATTATAATGTCCTTTTACAAATGAGGGCTTCTTATGGAAATACTGGCCTGGCTTTTAACTGACACACATTTTCCCGTTATAAGGCATACACACTGCTGAGGTCAGCACTATTTTTAAAAATCCATCCAAGGGACATCTGACATCAATTATACTGTAGGTTTAAATATATATGCGTGGAGAAAGAAACTGTGTCCTTCTATTCTTATTTTCATGCTTAAAAGAGACTGATTTTGAGGAGCTCTTCAAGAAACAGGTTTCTCTTTGTTGGCGAGCCCCAATCACCATTCTGTCGCTAACTTAATAGGTGGAGGGAGGAATGGTTTTGAAGGGGAGAACACAGAGGTGTCTTTTCCACAGTTACTTACCAAGCCAGTTACAGAATACAGAATGAGTGCAGATACTGGAAACCATTTGGCTTTTTTCAGAGGCTAAACCACTACTTTTCATCATGGAGCATAGCGATTATGCACATTGACCTTCTGTGATGAGGAAATGCTTTAAGAATAATTCAGATCACCAAGCCACCAGTTTCCTTTTCCCAATTATTTTCCATCCTGACCGGATGACCCCCTGTGGGTTCCCGATTTCAGGCAGCCAACCTACCTGTGTGTGGGCAGTACATGCAAATCGCCTGTGGTAGCCATAGTCACAGGAGGTGTCCTCAAGACAGAAACTCGCTTTGTGGCCTTCAGCCACCCTCCTCTGGGTACTGGCATCGAGTAGGTCATAGTGGCTGAATTCATCCATGCTGTGGTAATGTCTGATGTCCCACACAACACAGAGACAGAACATACAGAGAAAGCCATGAGGATTTTAGACGAATTCCCCACTGCCTCCCACACTTGTTTTCACATTAAAATTGAGATCAAGTTTGGGGTGCCTGGGTGGCTTAGTGGGTTGAGCATCCAACTCTGATCTCACATTTTGTGAGCCCCATGTCAGGATCTGCACTGACATTGCAGAGCCTGCTTGGGATTCTCTCTCTCTCTCTCTCTCTCTCTCTCTCTCTCTCACACACACAGTAAATAAACTTAAAAAAAGAAACTTATAGAAATTGAAATAAAGTTTACCTCTTTTTTTTAATGTTTATTTTCGAGAGAGAGAGACAGCAGAGTGCAAGTGGAAACGGAGTGGGGGGGGGGGGGGGGGGGCAGAGAGAGACAGAGACAGAATCTGGAGCAGGCTCCAGGCTCTGAGCTGTCAGCACAGAGCCTGACATGGGGCTCGAACCCACGAACCATGAGATCATGACCTGAGCTGAAGTCCAACACTTAACTGACTGAGCCACCCAGGCACCCCAAGATCAAGTTTATCTTAAAGCCAGATTCATGCTAGCTTTCCCTCCCCACCCCAGGGACAGCGATCTAACTTTGCTTTTAGGAAAAACAGACTTATTTTGAGCATTTTGCTTTCCTATTATACCCTGTTTCATCTTTGAATATTTAATAGAAATAGACATTAAACTATCTGTGTTTAAGTAGACCTTGCCATATGCTCTCTAGTATATTTCTTTTGGCTGCCAGTACTCATGTTTCATTCCAAATAAAAGAAGAGCACTCTTGGGAGGTTTCTGTGAGTTTTTAAAAAAGTGAGTTCTCACGTATTTAAAACCTTTACTCAAATACAAAGGAGAAACAATGGTGTGTTTTCCCCACCACTGTTATTTAACTAGTGTAAACTTTTATTTACAAATAAAATAATTCTACTTGATCAGAAAATTAGGTGTTCATATCTGTTTTTCTCATCTTGTTAAAGGAAAGGTGCTGAGCTCTTTATCTTCTCACAGAAGGAAAGAACGAGAAAAAAAAAAAAACATTCAAATTGCAGAAGGTTTAAGGGGCATCCTTCAGGATTTCCTGTCATTAAATACCTGGGCAAGTTACCAAGGGGAATTATAGAATTGCCTAATGTAAGGATCTTTAAATTCAGGACAGAACTGGCATTTACCCTGGGTTTGATACAGGCCTTGTAAAACAGAGGTCAGTCCTTGTCACCTCATGGAGTATAATCATCTCTTTCTTTGCAATTGGCATATAAATCCTTCTACTAACAACTTGCGGTCTTTCTGAAATGTTATCTCACTGTAGATGATCTTGGCTGTTGTTAACAAGTTTTTTGTTGTTGTTGTTATTGTTGTTTTTAGAAATCTTACCTGTAGTATGTTGGAATAAAATTCTCATGAAGCCCACTGTTGTATCCTATAGCAGTTTTAATCAGCTGGACTTAGAGTTTCCATTTTAAAAGATAAAAGGATCTTGTAGCTAATGTATTTTCTTAAATACAGATTCCCTTGATGATGTCACATTACACAAAGAAAATTCTAAATGTAAAATACCCAACAGCAGTGTTCTCCCTCTTCTATAAAAACTAAACCTTGGCATTTTTCACCTCCAGGACCACCTGAAAAAGGAAAAAACAACTCACAAGTACCCAGGAGGCCCGTCCACTTACTGGTGACAGGAGGCCCGCCCACTTACTGGTGACAGGAGGCCCATCCACTTACTGGTGACAGCTGTGCCACTCCCAGGAGTATCTTGGTCGGCTTGGTAAGAAATCTGACGTCCCTTGGTTTTTCACTCTTTGGGGGAATCGCAGCAACACCCTGTGATCATAATCTCTGACATCTGCCCGGTATGCTGAGCTGTGATTTTGAAAAAGGAAGCACTTTAATTTCCACAGGATATTAACTCAAGACAAAGTACAAGCAAAACCTTTCCAGTTTATAATGGCGACTGCCTCCCACCCCCCACTAGACTATCAGTTGCACAAGCCCAGCGCATTTTGCTTATTTTGTTTACTGCTGAATCCCCGGGTCCCAGAATGGTGCCTGGCAAGTGGCCCGATCTCAGTTGTGAATGTTTGTGGAATGAGTAAATGCATGACAACTAGGGACATCTGCAGTTAAAAAGTGAAAAAAAAAGTAACAAAATCAGCATTAAATGTGTATGCGCGATCAGTAAATTCTGTATTTGTAATCAGTTCTTGTTGAACCACATGAATGAGTAGAAATGATTCCAAATTAAAAAAAAAAAAAAAGAAAGAAAAAAAAAAGAAAAAAGTATGCCCTTATTAAGAACTTTGAATTTTGGGGTACCTGCGTGGCTAAGTAGGTTAAGCATCTGACTTTTGGTTTCTGCTCAGCTCGTGATCTCATGGTTCTTAAGTTCAAGCCCCACATCGGGCTCTATGCTGACCCCACCGAGCCTGCTTGGGATTTTCTCTCTCCCTCTCTCTCTACCCCTCCCCTGCTTGTTCTCTTTCTCAAAATAAATAAATAAACTTAAAAAAAATTTTTTTAAAGAACTTTGAATTTAACATTGTTTCTTCTTAAAGTGAGGAAATTAATTCTAAAAGCATACACCCAGATTAGATAAATAATTTTGTAACTTTGCTATCTGCAAAACAATGGCATGACTGTAATAATATCATAGGGAGAGCAGCGGAGTAAGTGATGCGAGACTCAGGAATGAAAATGGTAACTTTGGCTTTCTTCTCTTCCTTCCGCCTGACAGTTACAGAGGGTCAAAGTGGGAGAAAGATCCAGCTGAACAGATCAACATTACTTTGCTCCTTCTAATATATGTTGTGTGGATATATATTCAAATACTACTGAATATTTTCACTTTGCACTTGAACAGTTTTTTTATGAGACCTATCAAAACATCGTTTGCTCCCTCTGCTGGTTTCCCAGCGGCAAAGTCAGAGGATTCCATTCCCCAAATTGCTATGATTTTATTTTAGGACGGATTCAAAAACAAAGCTCTTGCTCGGGCTTATTCTGGCTGAAGTAATACCAAAACAACGAAGCTAAACTGTGGCCTTAAACAAAAGAAGAAAACCGAAGCTTTGCTCTGAGGGCTGCCACAGTGGCAAGTTAGCCCTCGGTTTTTTAAGGGGATATTAACAAGCTCTTCCATTACAATATTTTTTTCCACGTTATTGTACAGTTCTTTAGCTCCAAAGTATGAGGATCTTGGAAAAAGATCATGAGATCCCAACTCTCCACCGTAAGGGTTTGCTCCACCTCCCTGATTTGTGGCAGAGTTTGAAAGACAGAAGAACCCACAGACATCTTCAAAATGTTAAACACTCTCCATCCAGGTCAGCATGCCCAGCAGACCACATTCCACATTCCACTTGCCCCATTGCCCAACTCTTGTCTTCATGGAACAAGAGCTGTGGGAACCAGGCACTCGAGCAGCGCCTGAACCAAGACGGGTGCATGTAGCCAGGCCGAGGAGATCCTTGTCGGTACCTGGCCAAGCAGTTTTCCTCCGCGGCGCACCTCAGGTTGTACATGGACATCTTCTGCACGTACGTGGAAGCCTGGATGTAGTATGGGTCTGGCACCAGGTCCGGGAGACCTAAACGTCACCAGGCGATTGGGGGGGGGGG